TCTGATAGGAAAGACTCCCTGAAGGAAGATCAGAGAGGCTTGTTATCTAAACCCCACACTTAATGTTAGCATCTATGTCAGGTATGGGCAAATCCAGGCCCAGGGGCTGGATGTGGTCCCTTGGGCTCTTTTCTCAGGCCCTCCTCTCTGTCCATCCTTTCCTTCCTCTTCCCCTTCTTATTACCTCCCTCTTTCTCCTTCCCTTCTTCCTTCCCTTCCACCCTTTCGTCCTTACCTCTTTCCTCCCTCCTTTCCTCTTTCTCTTTCTCCTTCCTTCTTTCCTTTTTGTCTTTCATTCCTTCTCTCCTCCCTCCCTCCATTCCCTTCCACCCTTCCTTCCTTCTTTTCCTCCCTTCTTTCCTTCTTTTTTTCCTTCTTCCTGGGGGATGTTTAGCTGGGAGAAGAGAAGGAAGAGAGGGAACATGTGAATCATGTTTCAAGATTTAAACAGGTGTCCCATTGAGGAGGATGAGGGGGAAAACTGATTTTCTGCTGCTCTAGAAACTAGGGCACAAGGGAGCAATGGTTTCAAATGGCAGGGGAAAAGATGTGACTGAAAAGATTAGGAAGAACTTCCTGGAGAGTGGCATAGGCTGCCTGGGAGTGTGGTGGAGTCTTCTTCTCTGGAGGCTTTTCCGCAGAGGCTGTCTATCGGGAGTGCTTTGATTGTGCCTTCCTGCATGGCAGGGGGCTGAAATGGATGGCCCTTGGGGTCTCTTCCAGCTCTAGTATTCTACATCAGGAGTAGGCAATATGGGGTCTAATTGATACAATTTTTCTCTCCCGTCCACATCTCATCCTGACCAAGGTCAACCCTTTTGAGATCCAAACATTTCCTGTCTTTCTTTCTCTTTCTCCCTTCAAAAGAGAAGAGGAAGGGGAGGAAAAGGCAGAGAGAGGGCTTGAGGAGAACCGCCTCCTTCCTGGCCTGTCCACTCCGCTCCGGCCCACCATGCAGCCCCCAAGTTAGAAAGTTTGCCCATGCCTTATCTATGTGCTATGTCTGGTCTCCCAAAGCAGAAATAATCTACTGGCAAATCTGTGAGTGGTTCGCAGTCCTTTAGCAAGCACCTGGAGCCACCAATAGCGCAGCAGGTTAAACCGCTGAATTGCTGAACTTACTGACTAAAAGGTTGGCAGTTTGAATCTGGGAAGCAAGGTAAGCTCTCGCTGTTAGCTCCAGCTTCTGCCAACGTAGCAGTTCAAAAACAATCAAATATGAGCAGTTCAACAGGTACCGCTTCGGTGAGAAGGTAATGACACTCCATGCAGTCATGCTGGAGTGCAACCCCAGCTCTTTGGCCTAGAAATGGAAATGAGCACTACCCTCCAGAGCCAGACACGACTAGACTTAAAGTCAAGGGGAAACCTTTACCTTTACCTTACTTAGCAAGAACCCAGGTGTTTAAGAATAAGCTTTAGCTCTAACTTGACCAGAATTCCTGAGCTGTAGTGATGTGTTTGCGTATGGAGGTCATAAACATATATTATGACAAAAGAGCTGTAGCTCAGTCATTGAGTTCATGCTATATAGGTACATAAGGTCCCAATACTTCAAGGCAAAGTGAAGAGAGCTTTTGATCTGAAAATCTGTAAAGGCACCCAGTTGGCATTGAACTATGAGGCTAGATCACCATGGGAATTATATGGCCTTCTAAGGGCCGGAATGCACCTCCCTGCATTTCTCCCCTCTGGCTATGCTGGTTAAAACTGTTGGGGTTTGAAGTCCAGCCAATCTGAAGTAACACATGAGTCCTTTTCTTGGCAAGATGGATCAATAGTCAGCATAAAGCAGCCTCCTAAGGCACGTGGAATTTATGAGCCAACTAGTTCTTTTTCCCCAAACCTCATTTAGCACATGACCCTTGAGCTCTTGTTTAAAAAATAAACAGATCCTGCATGTCTGCAGCCTGGAGAAATTAGCTCAATTTCCACACCAAACAAAATATAGTATTCAAGTCTTATTCTGTCTCTATCATTACTGTCATTTAGCTTTTGGGGTGGCACAGCCAGTTTAAAGTTTAAACCCTTTTTCTAAGCCCTGGTCTTCACAGCCAGTTAAAACTTTCCTTGGATTCTTTTCTCTTGCTACCAATTCCGCAATATTAAGAATACAAAAAAAAAACCTCTGGCACCCCACAATTTCACTGTATACTCCAGGTGTTTTCCTTATACTGTTTTTATTTATTTATTTATTTTATGTTTTTGGAGGAGAGGTGGCTTTCCTTTAGCTGCAAAAATCACCATGTACAGCCAACAGCACTTTGATGTACATGATGCTTATTAAAGAATAGAGTTGGACGAGACCCCCTAGGCCATCCAGTCCAATTCCCTGCCATGCAGGAAAAGCACAATCAAACCACCCCCAACAGATGGCCATCCAGCGTCTGTTTAAAAGCCTCCAAGGAAGGAGCCTCCACCACACTCCAAGGCAGAGAATTCAACTGTTGGAACAGCTCTTGTGGTCAGGAAGTTCTTACTAATGTTCAGGAAGAATCTTCTTTCCTGTAATTTGAACCCATTGCTTCAAGACCTAGTCTCCAGAGCAGAAGGAAACAAGCTTGTTCCCTCCTCGTAACATCATTTCAGATATTTAAACATGGCTAGCATGTCTCCTCTCAACCTTCTCTTCTTCAGGTTAAACAGACCCAGCTGTTTAAGCCACTCCTCATAGGGCATGCTTCCCAGACTTTATGGTCTTATGAAGCTTCCTTCTTACAATGAAATTATGATTCATTACATGGAAAGATTAGTGTCACAATACACGTTGATCTAGGTCACTACTTCTAAAACCATGGGTCCCGACCCCAAATTAGCTCAATGTTGGGGTCACAAAACATTTGGCAACAGTAAAAGGTTTCTGAATACCATCTATTACACAAATCTGCATTCTGTAGACATTGCTCAAGATGCACTTCATAAAAAGGCAAATTAGCCTGTTTAGCAAGGAATTTAAGGAATTAATCAATTTTTTATCTTTTTATCTTGTAGTTGCACAATCATTTAGGAGTGGGTCGACAGGCCAGTAGGCCAGGATGCCTTGTATTCATATATGGTTTTACTGTATGTATGGGCAAGTGTGTTTTGTATGTTTTGCATGTTTTGATGTGGTCAAAATGGACTAATCAATAAAGAATCGTTGTTGTTTAGCAAGCCTTGAACATTATGATTTATTATCAGTAAGTAATACATTTACAACTGTTTTATTCACCTGAGGTCACAGGTAGAAAGGAGTCGGGAGTGGGAAAAAGTTTAAGAAGCCCTGGTCTAGATAACCTAGAATTTGATCAATTATTATTGTGTTGTTTAAAAGGTTAAATTATCTAAACCAGATTCATGAGGCCAATAAATAAATAAAATCCACCACAAAGTCACAATCTCTCCTCAGAAAATACAATATTGTCTGAAACTGGTCAATTACTTAAAATGTTGGAAAGGCCATGTTGATATTACAGATATTCATAGAAACAGGAGTTGTTAAGCTGCTAAACCACTTCCCTTGCATTATGCAGTCACAGGCTCCATAGTGCAAAAACACTATAGCTGCCTTTTAAGACATATGCTGAAGATTCCAACAATGAGGGGGAAAGAGGAAACCTATCTCCTAATGCTAGAAATGTATATAGGCCTCTCATACATATTCTTGAAAACAGAATGTTTTAAAATGGGGCAGAAGAACTCCAGATATAAAACACCAATACAAAAGATGCAGAAACAAAAGTATCCAGGTTAACCTTCAATTTTCTCTGCTCCAGCTCATCCATGCCATTCTACTCAGACTACTGGCCCTTGAAATGCAGATGTAAGAATCGGCCACACATTAATATAAAAACTGTGTTTCTAGACAATTATAACCTTATTGTAAAGAGACCAGCACGCTTGGCAGTAGGCCAGAGGTAGGCAAACCAATTGTGCCTGGTTGAATGCCTCTAAATTGTTGTATACAAGACTGTATCATTTCCTAGTACTTAGTATGTTACATATAACCAGAAAAGTAGGATGCTTCACACACACACACACAAATTAAGCTGGTCTGTAATTTGTCACACAGCAACAATTACAAAGCTTGTACAGCAGGCGTGGGCAAACTTTGGCCCTCAAGGTGTTTTGGACTTCCTATCGGCTGTTAAGAATTGTGGGTGTTGAAGTCCAAAATACCTGGAAGACCAAAGTTTGCCCATGCTTGTTGTAGAGGCACCACAACATTCTGGTCAGCTCTGCTGCTCCTCACAACTGAATGTATCACAGTTTCAGTTCCTGGCATTGAAGTCCATCCCCACAACTAAGGACATACATATTCTGTGCCATTAGAAGATGTTTACTGACATATGTAATTGGACTTTTAAAGATTGTTTCAGAACAATTGATGGAAAAGTGGGCATACAATCCATATGAAAATCTACCATTTCATCAGGGCAATTTCCCAATTCTGGCCATATATATATATATTAATTGGTTTTGTAGCTTAAGTCCCCAATGGCACAGTGGGTTAAACTTCTGAGCTTCTGAACTTGCTGAAAAGTCGGCAGTTTGAATCTGGGAAGCGGGGTGAGCTCTTACTGTTAGCCCTAGTTTCTGCCAACCTAGCCATTCAAAAACATGCAAATGTGAGTAGATCAACAGGTACCACTCTGATGGGAAGGTAACAGCACTCCGTGCAGTCATACTAGCCACATGACATTGGAGGTATCTACGGACAACGCCGGCTCTTCGGCTTAGAAATGGAGATGAGAACCAACCCCCAGAGTCAGACACGACTAGACTTTATGTCATGGGGAAGACTTTACTTTTACTAGCTTACGCAGAGAAAAGGAGTACTTCATAGTAGAACCACAGACATAAAGCAGCAAAAAAGAAAAAAGAAAGGAAACCCTCGCCACACAGAAATCATGTCCCCAAAGAGAAGGGATTCTACACCTGGATATATTGCTGGGTTCAGCTATATGAAAGGCAATTAGAAAAAATATCCAGATAAGTAAACAAGAATTTTATATACCTACCTTAAATGTGCAGATTGAATAATTCTGCTCAGCAAAATCTGTAAGTCCTTATTCTTTGGAGCTCAGTGTATGTTTACCCCCAACTTCCATAGAGTTTCTGCAATATATTAGAGAAGGTAAAGGGAGATCATTATGTAGAAGCTGTGCACACAAAGAAATCAAGACAGAAAACTCTAAGTACAGTATAACTTGGCATTTTCATACAGTAATGAAAGCCTCCAAGCCTACAGTATGCAGCCAATTTAAACAGGAAGTGGAAAATGTCTAGAGCAAAATGAGATGAGGAAACAGGGAGGGGTGAAAGTGGGACGGCAATATGCAATATATTCAGAACACGGGTAGGAGGCAATCACTACCAGCAGTCTGTTTTCCCTGCCAGAAATTGAGATAACAACTCTCTTTATCAATGCATGCAATTTGTCACTCCTTACAGATTTTTACCCTAAGATTAAGCCCTATACTTTTCACAGTGGCAAAGGGGCAAACTATTCATAACCCCATTTCCTCTGTGATATGTACCATATCTCCCTGAAAATAACAAAATTAAGATGATCTAAGCATTTCTCAAGCTTCTATAAAAAGAGAAAGTCTTTTTCACTGCTTTGTTTATTTTCTCACAGAAGAACAGCGATCTTGTTACAGGTTATGCAGTCACTGGGATTAAGCTCTCTAGGGTTCCCTGTGGAATGGCACTTAGCATTCTGTTGCTTGGACACCCCAGACGTTGTCAAGATTTAATGCTTGTGCTTAATTTTTTCTTCTTAAAGGGCTCCATATGGAAGCAATAATTAAGGATAACAAGTCCTGATATTCTACCTCCAACTCCCCCTGCAATTAAATGTACCATTGTACTATACAAACACAATGCACAATATTTACTGTAGCAAGATAGCTATCCAGTGAGTTCAAGTAAACTATGAATTGGTACAGGAATATCATGAATAATATAAATATTATTCAATCCTAACCTCATAGAACTAGAAACAGTCTCCAAAGCAAACTAAGCCTGATCTCATAAAATCTTAATTAAAAATAAAATACAAGCATTTAAAAATGCTGTACAATCAGTACAGTTTAGCAAACAGCCATCTTCTAAAGCAGACTAGTTGTTAGACAGGCTAACAGAAACACGTGCATCGCTTACTTCGAACAGGAACACTGCAATTGTAGGTATGGCTGATGAAAGCCATCCTTAAAACACTGAACAAACAAGGCAGGCTCTGAAAAATGGCCATATGCTGCTGGTAAGATTTTCTTTTATTGTCCCATGCATTCCTTCAGGAATAGCACATTCATAACATTCTTCTACAATTCATATTGGTATTAGTTGTAGGTATCCTTTACAGCTGGCCAGAAAGAGGAGTTGTGTGATCACATCAGCACTATCCTCTAGTTCAGCTTTCACTGTTTTTAAATGGTGGAATGAGCTGGTGAAGAAAATGCAGAGAAAAGTTCCTGTTATTTGAAAAATTGTATGTAGTTGATTTGCCTTTGGCTACCTTCCAACTTCAGCTTTGCACTGAGATCATCAATGAAGGGACTGAAAAACAGGAAGCAACTCTAACATCCCTAAATACAATAATTTAGCCTCTGCTGAAATATCTCCAGAAAATGAAAGCCTAACCTCTCCTGAAGACATCTGTTCCATGCTCATGTAGGTCATATTATTATGGAGGTTCTCATAATAATTAGAAGTAAATTGCTTTTCTGCACTTTCCATACAATTTTAGTGCTGCCTTCAGATGCAAGAGAGAGCACATCTGATTACAATGTAATGAACCATGTAACTTATGAGACTCTCTAACCCTCGAGATCATCTGTATCTGTCTATGGGGAAAGTGCTGTAGTCTACACCAATCACATCTAACAATGAATCCAATGCACAAGTATGTACACACTCCCCCATACCTTTGTAGACGGTTTTATATGCTGAAAAGGGTAATCAAAGTTATCAGAGTTTGGAACTGGCTCCATACTGAGAAAGGCTATATTTGCATCTTCCATAAGACTAGGACCCACAATTAAATTGACTAGCCAATATATAGCAATATACAAAAGAAAGTGCTTCACACAATATGCAACTAACATAGGGAATTCACTGCTTCCAGTTTTGGTGATGGTCAGGAACTTAGACAACTTTGAAAGAGCATTAGTCAAATTCAAAGAGAAAAGAGGTCATATGTAGTAATTGGCCACCATGCCTAAAGGCAGCCTCTATAAGCGTTGCAGAAAGCCATAACAGAAGAGGACTACTGATTCCAAGCATTCCAGGAGAATATAATCAGTCACTGAATGAAGAAAGCAGGACACTGGACTAGATGGCCATGTGGTCTGATCCAATTGGGCTCTTATGTTTCAGAACCCAGAAAAAAGAGAGCATGAGCACTGCTCAACTTTCACAGAAAGGCTATACAAAAGAGAATTCAGTTTCTTCCCCTATTCCAAGGTTCTTCTTTGTGTTGACTTTCCCAGAAGGTCTGCAGTATTTTCCCCCTTTTGCTACTTTTCACCTCCCTTCTCGAATGAAATAAAATGCACTGAAAACCCTGTGCTAAAACAAAAGGTCCATCAAGTCTGACATTCAAAGCCATTGTCGTACTTTATTTATAAGGCACCTAAAATTATAACCCTGCACAATAAAAATACAGAAAGAAAGAGACTATTCTCTGCCTGCCCACTCATAATCTAAAATCATTCAATTAACTTCCCTACTGTAAAGGAAAAGGAGGAGGGAAACAAAATAAAGGATCCAAAAACCCACATCCAATTTCTAAGTGGGCAAATTTCTCAGTGCCTATAGACTATTCATAGCAAACTCTAAAACGCACCAAAATTTGCAAAAGCACTGTATGCGGAATGAACTCTATGAAATAGACAACAGCCAAAAGAACCACTTTCAAATTATCCTTGTTTGCCACTTGCAACTATATTCTGTCTTGACGGTGTTAAAGGGATCAGATATTGAAAGATGAATTTCAAAGACGTCTTTCTTGAAGCCTGAAAAATAATCTATTCTCTACCTACATGTAAGTTTTATATGCACAAGAGACATACAACATGTAGGCAACACCCAAAATAAGTGGCTGTCTACACTGTCATTATTTTAATTACTAGCTGTACCTGGCCATGCATTGCCGTGGCCCTCAGAAAACAGAAGATTTCCAGAAAGGAATCAATCTGGGCTAGGGAACTTCGCCCACCAAAGGTTTCCCGTTGGCTGGTAAAAGCCAGGCATTTAAGGTGCAAGGCTATTCAAAGGTAATCCAGGTGGGCAATTGTAATATTAACACTTGGCTCAAGTAGAAATGGAGAGCGTGGGGTCAGGGGGTCGTTTTTGTGCATGCGCTGTAATGTAATTTTTTGTTTTTTTGGGATTTTAAGTCCTTTCCACTGTGTGTTTTTTTGTTTTTATGAGTGATGGTCACTTGTTGGCCTGAAAAGTGTCTTGTGGCCAAATTTTGTGTCAATTCATCCAGTGATTTTTGGGTTATGTTCATCCCACAAATGAACATTAAATTTTTATTTATATAGATTCTGTAACTTACCTTGAGCCACAAGGAGAGACAGGAAAGAAATAATAATAATAATAATAATAATAATAATAATAATAATAATGACAACATACAAAGAAATCACACAGCATTGAACTTCAAAGGAAAAAAGACAAGAAGATCCCAGGAATTATGAACATAGTTTAAGACTTGGCCTTTTCTTTATGCTTCACAAGACTAACTGTATCTGATTTGAGATGGGAATCCAAAGAATTTGTAAGATACTAACTGGAAGGCATTTGTTCCGATCATGCGTCAAAGTGTGATAAAGAAAACAGAAATTTACAAAGGAAGTATTCAATATACAAATACAGCAGAATAAAAGACAAGGAAATGTCCTTCCCATGAATAACTTCTGGTATTTTCATATTATCATGTGTTTACATATCACAAAGCGTCAAGAGGCACACAAAAACATTTGGCTAGAAAACACAAACCTGGATACAGATTAGTGCTCTACTGGTGACATACGTAAAACTGAAACAATATATAGCTTGATTAGTAAGGGTTATAAGTGACTTATGAGTCTCAGCAATGACAGACAATGGGCTATAGAAACCTTATTAATTTCCAGCATGCCCTTTGCCCCCATTAACTTTTGTATCCGCCAGTGCAGACAAACATCTGGGATTAAGAAACATCAACTTGTGAACATTTGTTTAAAAATCTAAGCATATTATCTTATCCTAGCCTATCAGCTAGAATCACTGCAAACCTGAATGCTGTAAGCTAAATAAAAATGTAATGTTTGTTTGTGGGATTAACATAACTCAAAAACCACTGGACAAATTGACACCAAATTTGAACACAATACACCTATCAGGCCGAGTGACCATCATAAAAACACTAAAAAACACAGCGGAAGAGACTTAAAAAGCCAAAAATAAAATACATTACAATGCATGCGCAAAACCACATACAGATATGCAAACACACATATACACAAATATATAGACACACATATATACACACAGCAACGCGTGGCAGGGGACGGCTAGTCTTATATAAAAAATTTTAAATGTAATGTTTGTTTGTGGGATTAACAGAACTCAAAAACCAGTGGACGAATTGCCACCAAATTTGGCCGCAAGACACCTACTAACCCAAGGAGTGACCATTACTCAAAAAAATTGATTTGTCATTTGGGAGTTGTAGTTGCTAGGATTTATAGTTTACTTACAATCAAAGAGCATTCTGAACTCCGCCAATGATGAAACTGAACCAAATGTGGCACACAGGACTCCCATGACCAACATAAAACACTAGAATGGTTTGGTGGGTATTGACCTTGAGTTTGGGAGTTGTAGTTCACCTACATCCAGAGAGCACTGTGGACTTAAAACAATGATGGATCTGGACCAAACGTGGTATGAATACTCAATATGCCCCAATGTGAACACAGATGGAGTTTGGGGGAAATAGACCTTGACATTTGGGAGTTGTAGTTACTGGGATTTATACTACACCTACAATCAAAGAGCATTCCCAACCCCACCAACGACAGAATTGGGGCAAACTTCCCACACAGGACCCCCATGACCAACAGAAAATACTAAAGGCCATCCAGTCCAACTCCCTTCACCAGGACAAGAAAACGTAATCAAAGCCCTCCTGACAAAAAACCATCCAGCCATAGAAATAGATAGATATATGTGATTCACACACACACACACACACACACACAGAGATATAGTATGATAGATTTGAAGGGAACCCCTAAGGAAGGACAATTATATGTTGCATGTTCCAGAGAAGGCAAACCAGACAATCTCCACATCAACACTGACAAAAAAAACAAGAAATAATGTTTACCCACCAACATAAAGGCATTGCATATATTTAGAAACCAACACTTTCTCATCCCTTTCTTTTCCAGATCACCAGACTGGGCCACAGCAATGCGTGGCAGGGGACAGCTAGCAATGTATAAATATTAACATAAATAAAGCATCTCTATATCATGGTTTTTCACTTATTGCCGGAGGTCCTGGAACCTAACCCCAGCAATAAGTGAGGAAACACTGTATCCAATCATTTATTTATTTATTATTTTATTTCGTATACTTCTACCCTGCCCTTCTCACCGAGGGGGGACTCAGGGCGGCTTACAAAATGGCACAATTCGATGCCTACACAATAATACAATAAACGTATAAAAACAGCAGTTAAACAGTTATAACAATTAAAACAACAATATATATCACAGTCAATAAGCCAATCTCATGCACAGCGTTCGCCAACTCAGAGTCCATACTTCGTTCCACATTGTCTATTCCTATCCGTCGTCGCAGTCCTTTATTTATCTGCCAGATTGCCCAAATGTCTGGTCCCACATCCATGTTTTTAATTTCCTTCTAAAGGAAAGGAGGGATGTCGCTGATCTAATTTCCCCGGGGAATGAATTCCATAGGTGAGGGGCCACCACTGAGAAGGCCCTGCTCCTCATCCCCACCAACCTCACTTGTGACAGAGGCAGGGCCGAGAGCAGGGCCTCCCCAGAGGATCTTAAACTCCGAGGTGGGACGTAGAGGGAGATGCGTTCGGACAGATACGCTGGGCCGGAACCGTATAGGGTTCCGAGCACTTTGAATTGTGCCCGGAACTGGATCGGCAGCCAGTGGAGCTGACACAACAGGGGGGTGGTATGCTCCCTGTATGACGCTCCGGTGAGCAATCTGGCTGCCTCCCGCTGGACTAATTGAAGTTTGAACAGTCTTCAAAGGCAACCCCACGTAGAGTGCGTTGCAGTAATCTATCCAGGATGTAACAAGAGCGTGGACCACCGTGGCTAGATCCGACTTCCCAAGGTATGGGTGCAGCTGGCGCACAAGTTTAATTGTGCAAAAGCTCTCCCAGCCACCGTCGAGACCTGGGGTTCCAGGCTCAGCGATGAGTCCAGGATCACTCCCAAGCTGCGAACCAACCACAGTACAAAATCAAGTAAAATAAATTACACTGCCCGATTCAGAATGCAGTTGAACTGCATTATATGAGTAAACCTTTGCCATGTATTACAATTGAGTGCCATTAAATTGCATGATATGGCAGTGTAGATGGGGCTTGGAGAAGCCATCAGAGAGAACACAGCGGGTGGACTGAACCACTGGTTTCCAAGCATCAGGAGTGCTGTGTGGAATAGTTGAGCCAAAAAGGAACAAAGACCTCTATGTCTGTGAGCCTCCCATTCAATGAGCTAGGATTTAATGCCACCCCCACCCTCCCAAAAAGTGCTAAAATGCCAGTTTAGTCAGGAGATTGACTCTCTCTGTCAGTTCAACTGCCAATCTCAACTCATACACCAGGCCTGGGCCAACTTGGGCCCTTCAGGTGTTTTGGACTTCAACTCCCACAATTCCTCACGGCCTCAGGCCCCTTCCTTCCCCCCCTCAGCCGCTTAAGCGGCTGAGGGGAAAGGAAGGGGCCTGAGGCCGTGAGGAATTGTGGGAGTTGAAGTCCAAAACACCTGAAGGGCCCAAGTTGGCCCAGGCCTGCTCTAAGAGAAAGGATATAGCTACACTCAGTTGGGCCGGGCTCAACTCACCCTCCGCCAGCTCCGAGGGGGACTGCCGCCCCTCAGCTGGGCGCCGAGTCGCCGAGTGGGAGCCCAACCAATCGCGTAACGCCGAACGAGCGGCGTGGGGAGGGGGGGAGGGAGAGGCGCGCGCCAGGCCGGCCAATCAGAGCCCGAGCGCCCGCAATGTCAAGGCGACGCGTCGCCTGTGATTGGTAGCGAAGTGCTCCAAAGCCGAAGAAGAAGAAGAAGAGGGCGCGTGGTAGAAAAAAAGGGCGGGGGGAGAGGAAAAGAAGCATATCAAGGCAAGCTCCAAAAGAGGGCGCTGCGCGGAAGTCTACGTCACAAAGGAGCCCCGCCCCCTCTCATTTCCCCCAGACGTCTACCAAGGACAAGGCAGTTATTTGCAGGCTTTCACCCTATGGAGTGTTATCAGCAACCCAGCTCAATATCAGCCAGTGAACAAACAGGTGGAACTGGCTTAATCCAGTCTTGACATAAGTGCACACAATATGGTGTACTTTCTGATAAGCTGCAATAAAACGAGTGGGAGTTTATGTGGAGCTGAGTAAACATTACCAATCCCAGCACTGCAAAGCATTGAGCCATGGCAATTAAATTAGAGGTGACATCCCTTAAACTGCTCCTGAAACACCTTCCCCAATTGCTTTGATTCAGGAGAAGGGACAGAGAGTTTCATCTATGCTGACGATTGTGCCATCACCACCCAAGCAGGGAGCTTGGAAATGGAGATGTGCTTGCTCCATAAATGTTTAACATCTACACAAATGTCCAGCCTCTGCCAGAAGGGACAGAGAGTTTCATCTATGCCAGGGGTAGGGAACCTTTGGCCCTCCAGCTGTGGTGGACTTCAACTCCCACAATTCCTTGAGGCTCGGCATTCGCCCCAAAGGCTTACCTTGGCCCAATGCTGAGCCTCAAGGAATATTACTCAGCCACTGCCAGAAGGGACAGAGAGTTTCATCTATGCTGACGATCGTGCCATCACCGCCCAAGCAGGGAGCTTGGAAATGGGAGTTCACACACAGGCTCCATCACACACAGGCTCCATCCATGTTTAACATTTACACAAATGTCCAGCCTCTGCCAGAAGGGACAGAGAGTTTCATCCATGCTGATGATCATGCCATCACCACCCAAGCAGGGAGCTTGGAAATGGGAGTGTGCTTGCTCCATCAATGTTTAACATTTCACAAATGACCAGCCTCTGCCAGAAGGGACAGGGAGTTTCATCTATGCTGATGATCATGCCATCACCACCCAAGCAGGGAGCTTGGAAATGGAGATGTGCTTGCTCCATAAATGTTTAACATTTACACAAATGTCCAGCCTCTGACAGAAGGGACAGAGAGTTTCAACTATGCAGGGGTAGGGAACCTTTGGCCCTCCAGCTGTGGTGGACTTCAACTCCCACAATTCCTTGAGGCTCGGCATTCGCCCCAAAGGCTTACCTTGGCCCCAATGCCGAGCCTCAAGGAATTGTGGGAGTTGAAGTCCACCACAGCTGGAGGGCCAAAGGTTCCCTACCCCTGCTATGCTGACGATCGTGCCATCACCGCCCAAGCAGGGAGCTTGGAAATGGGAGTTCACACACAGGCTCCATCCATGTTTAACATTTACACAAATGTCCAGCCTCTGCCAGAAGGGACAGAGAGTTTCATCCATGCTGATGATCATGCCATCACCACCCAAGCAGGGAGCTTGGAAATGGGAGTGTGCTTGCTCCATCAATGTTTAACATTTCACAAATGACCAGCCTCTGCCAGAAGGGACAGGGAGTTTCATCTATGCTGATGATCATGCCATCACCACCCAAGCAGGGAGCTTGGAAATGGAGATGTGCTTGCTCCATAAATGTTTAACATTACACAAATGTCCAGCCTCTGCCAGAAGGGACAGAGAGTTTCATCTATGCTGACGATCGTGCCATCACCGCCCAAGCAGGGAGCTTGGAAATGGGAGTTCACACACAGGCTCCATCACACACAGGGAATTCACACACAGGCTCCATCACACACAGGCTCCATCCATGTTTAACATTTACACAAATGTCCAGCCTCTGCCAGAAGGGACAGAGAGTTTCATCCATGCTGATGATCGTGCCATCACCACCCAAGCAGGGAGCTTGGAAATGGGAGTGTGCTTGCTCCATCAATGTTTAACATTTACACAAATGACCAGCCTCTGCCAGAAGGGACAGGGAGTTTCATCTATGCTGATGATCATGCCATCACCACCCAAGCAGGGAGAGTGGAAATGGGAGTGTGCTTGCATTCATCAATGTTTAACATCTACACAAATGACCAGTCTCTGCCAGAAGAGACAGAGAGTTTCATCTATGCTGACAATTGTGCCATCACCACCCAAGCAGGGAGTTTTGAAATGGGAGTGTGCTCACTCCATCAACCTTAAGAAATGGGGCTACAAAGTGGAATCCACAACATGCGAATGTGGAGAAGAGCAAACTACAGACCACCTATTGCAATGCAGTCTGAGTACAGTGGGAGGACCTTCTTATAACAATACCAGAAGCACTCCAATGTCCTTTGACTAAATGTCAAAGGACATTTAGTATGATCCAAGTTTAACTTTATGTTTTTAAATACATTACAACTGTACCCTCAATTTGCTTCTGACACAATAAATAAATAAGCACTAAGAGGTTAGATAGAAATGGCAAAGCGTAATTTTGGGAAGGCACTTTTACAAAAAAATAATAATGGCGAGCATTAGATTTGAGCAAATAAAGTACCTTTCGTGGATACAGTTCAAAGTCTTGCCTTACCTATTCCAGGCTTTCAAGTCTAGGCAGGAGTCTATCATATATTCACAAAGATGTGGCCACTGAATGCTAACATGACTTGGCAATAATAATAATAATAATACATTTAATGTGTTGTCAAAGGCTTTCAGGGTCGGAATCATTGGGTTGCTGTAAGTTTCCAGGCTGTGTGGCCATGTTCCAGAAGCATTCTCTCCTGATGTTTTACCCACATCTATAATCAAGGTGGCCAATTACAATATTCACCCTTGTCTCAAAGAGACAAGAGTTCTTTCTCCCACTCTGGACATTCCACAGATATATAAACCTCACTGGAATGGCCCAACCTTGATTGTGGATAATGTGATTTTATAGCAGTAAGTGGTAATGTTTATATTTTAATTGCTTTTAATCTTTTTAACTTAATATTTATTTATTGTTGAATTGTTTTAAGGCATTGAATTATTACCTCTTTTGGGGGGGGGGAGGAGTTCATGTCAGGAGCAATTTGAGAAACTGCAAGTCACTTCTGGTGTGAGAGAACTAACAGTCTGCAGTGACATTTCCCAGGGGATGCCTCGATGTTTTGATGTTTTACCATCCTTGTGGGAGGCTTCGCTCATGTCCCCGCATGAGGAGCTGGAGCTGATAGAGGTAGCTCATCCACGCCTCTGTTGTAAGCCATTATAAGGACTCTTAACACCAAGGAACTACTTTTTGCAGGGAGAAGGAACAGGGAATTCTGAAATAGTGAATCCCACAAGCTGCCAACAATTATAAGGGAACCTCATACTAAGGATCACACCGCTTTGCCACCAATTATAATGAATGTCATAGGAGGGAGGTTGATAAAACAGGGATATAACTGTGTGTGTGTGTGTGTGTGTGTGTGTGTGTATGTATGTATGTGTGTATATATATATATATATATATATATATATATATATATATATATATGAATTACGTCTGAACTGAGAGGTTTTTAAAAGGCCTCTTCAATTGGGTATGCTGCCACCTTATTGTTTAATATCCAGGCTGAGTTGTATGTGGAGAGGATACTAGTAACACCCTTTTGTGTTACAATAGTGTTTTTTTTTTCCTTCAGAGGGTTTAAATTACCAATGACATTCACACACAGGCTGTTGTAAAGTGTTAACTATAATAAAATGTTTATTTAACAGGCTTAAACTTCTGGTACAAATGCGTAGTGATTTCCATAAGTTACTGGTACATAAGCTTCTGGTTACGTTGGATGTACAATTCTTAGATGGATTCTGGGTTCAAATCTTGATGTTAACAAAACAGGAGATTATCTCAGGAAATTAATCGCTGATAATAATTCCAAACAAAATTCCCCCCTTTCTGGAATCTAGCCAATAACCTTTTGGCCTAGCCTTTCTCAGGGATAAAGAACAAACCACACACACAGGGTCCTGTTCCACTATCTGTATTTTTTGTTATCCATTTCTATAGCTCTTGAATACCACAAAAGATTAACCCAGCTCTCCTATCTAACACCAACCAAACTGTTAAGCCAACTGACTACCTAACTGCCAATTCCCAACTGCCAAACTCAAACCTTGAATTCAAAAAGTACACTTTTTTCCTTATCTGAATGATAGGCTTCGCCCCCTATTCCTAACTAATCCTGGCCATCCACTCTTTGCTTCCTTAACAATTACACGCCCCCTCTAAGAAAACCTAACCTAAGATGGCGTCTCCCTGTTTCCCTAATCTAAAATGGCCGCCGGGGCTTCGCTAGGCCCACATCCTAACTGCTAAAGGTAAGGGTTCATGACAGCCGCCTTTGAGTCTCCTTCAAGGTCAAGAAAGGCGGGATTTAAATATAGAAAATAAACAAAATAAATAAATACTTGCCTAGTTTCCAGCACACCTCACAACCTCTGAGGATGCATGCCATAGATGTGGGTGAAACGTCAGGAGAGAATGCTTCTGGAACATGGCCTTGCAGTCCAAAAAACTCACAGCAAGCCAAACCTAATTAACTTGACTCTCTCACCATTTTAAATATTCTATTGTCCTTTCATGTTTTTGGAGTGTGCATAGGAATTTGTTCATTTTTTTCCAAACTATAGTCCGGCCCTCAACAGCTGAAGGGATCGTCTGCTAAAAATGTTTGAGGATCCCCGGTTTAAAAGGTCATTGATTCCTCTCCCATAGTATGGTCTCTAGTTCGTTCCAGATGTTTTTCGTGACCTCCCTAAACCAGGACCAGCCGTCAAAGCTTTATCTTTACTATATCATTCTGTGTGTACAGAGTGATGTGATAAAGATACAGTGAAAACTCTGTGTATTTATGATTCTAGTTGGTACACATTCCTGAAGAGC